TTTCTGCTGCAGGCATTAGAGTTGAACCCTTTGTGTCTCTCTGGCAAGATGTTCTGCTCCTGAATCAGCTGGGTGGGTCTTGCCTCTAGCCTCTTTGTAGGGAGTTCTGCTGAAGGGTTCTGTGCTGGGCCTGCGCTCTGGGTCTTTCCAGGACCCCGCGGCCTGGGTCGTCTCACTCCGCCAATTTGGTTTGAAACTGCCTCATCGCTATTTGTTTATCAATAAAATTATGGAAAAAAATAAATAGATAAGCAAGCCATGTAGCAAGCTGACATGAAAGAGAACAGAGGCTTTTCCTAGAGGGGATGAGTCAGTGACTCTTCCTCATTTTCTCAAGTTGATCAATGTCCATTTAAAGTATCAATCGCCATTGTTTATTGTTAGGGAAAATATGTGGGTGTACTTGTTTCACCTTTTGTCTTGAGGTCTGGTCCTCAGCAGATGTATCTGTCTCCCCCATAGTTGCAATCTATGCTGTCTTCTGTATGAGCTTCCTTAAGGACCTCAGCTTGTCTGACTGCCTACAATATTTCTACCTAATTTAGTGGTCTACAACCCCAGTAAAGAATAAAGTGCTTGATTAAATGTAAGTGGATGCTGACAGAAAGACTCCAAGAACTAACTAATGCATTATGTCAGATGTTTGTCAGGGGCACATGTAATTCTGAATTTTTTTTTGCACTTTATCACTTCATAATCTATTAAGCCTACCCTTTGGGAAGAGATTAGTATGTATGTGACCAAATTAAATGTGCCTGTCTGTGGATTATTTGCTCTAAAGTGTTTATTCATGATCACCACACTCATGGTTCATTAACCTTTAATCATTAGAAGGATGAAGATTTAGATAGCATCACTGATATGATTCTTGAGGAAAAAGGCAATGAAGCAGAAAGGCAAAGGTATCATAAATGACAATCTTGGCATAATTGCAAAAAAGATTCTTTAACAAGAAGTCATTAAATTTGCTTGCCAACAATAATAAGCGTCTTAGAAGTACAGAAAAAAATGGTCTGGATTTCCATGGATGCATTCTAAAAACTATTCTGAAGTTCTGAGCTGCATGAAAAAAAATAATACTACAAATAACCTCTCAAAATATTTATAGCAAAGTAAGGAGCAATTTGTAAAATCTTCATTGAACTTGGTTAGCAATGATGTGCTATTTGAGAATAGAATCTTCAAGTCAGAAAGATAAATAATTCAAAAAACAATATCTTATGCAAGGTCTATGAAAGACATGCTCAGCTCTTAAATACATATCTTATGAGCATGACAGTACACAACAAAATAAATAATTTTTTCCATGGAAAGTGTTAAAAAAGTTTTGTCATTCACATGCACCTATTCCTCATTTAATTAAATGTAAATCCATTTAAAAAGTGACAGAACACCATGAATGTTGGAGCTGTGAGGTGGTTTAGCCCATACACTAGAAGCAGGGTTCAAACTAAAACTTGAAAAAGCAGGTTATTTAATGATTGTTCCAATGATGTAGGGGAAAGAACCTCGCAACCTGCCTGATGCCCCATAGGAACAAAAGAGGTTAAGAGCAGAATATTTTTCTTGGGAGAAAGAAAGTCACTATCCATGAAAGAGAAACAAGGGGTCCCAATGGGTTACCAATGGCTCTGCTTTTACCTAGCGATGTTTATAAAGCCATCATGTAAGCTGGGTCCAATATGGGAAGAATAGGAAATTGCAATGTGGGCATGAGGTGGGAAAAAATTCTTGTTGTAGGCAGCTGAATTAGATAGAAGTATTACAGAAAGTCATACAGGGCAAAGCCTGAGAAAGAACTAATGCAGACAATGGGATAACTTGCAACTGTGGGAGAGACAAGGCCCTCTGTTGTGGACAAGATCTCAAGACTAAAGATACAACAAATGCACCCAGATATCTCCCTAAAAATAAATATCAGGGATTGATACTCTAAATAGGTATCTGTCACCTTGAGAGAGTGAGGAAGAGACACCCACTCAACCATCTACAGGAAAATCCCATTCTGTTTCATGCCTACTTGCTATGTGACTCACTTCCCTATTGGATCCTGATTAAATCAATTTTATGTGAGCAATTAGACTTGTAATCTTACTGGTTGACCAGTTAGGTCTTCCCTCATGCCCAGCTAATACTTTTTTGTGTTTCCCACCCTGGACCCAAACCAACCTCATGGATTTCCTCTATAAAAAGCCCTAGAGAAGGCAATGTCTTTGGTAACCCATTCTGGACCTCTTCTTTCTCACTTGGACTGAAACTTTCTTTCCCCCCAATAAATATTATCTGCTGTTTACCTCTGTAGTTCCTAAAATTTCTTCTTTAGTTTTAGAGAACATGAACTAGATACCTAGAATGCTATGAATTTCTTTCCCCTATATCACTATGGTTAACTAATAAAATTATGAGTATAACTGCATGGGTAAAATTGATTAAATCAGGATAAAATGAATAAGCAAGTCATGTAGCAAGCAGGCATGAACACAGAACAGGGGCTTTTCCTGTACATGGTTGGATTTCAGGCTCTTCATGGCTTTCTCAAGGTTATCAATACCTATTTCAAATATCAATCCCTGATGTTTATCCTTAGGAAGTGGGTGGGTGCATGTTTCATCCTTTGTTTTGAGGTCTGGCACACAGTGGAGGTGCTTGTCTCTCCCACATTTGCAAAGCATCTCATTTTCTGCACTGGTTCTGTTAAGGGCCTAGAGCTGTCTATCTACCTATCCTATTTTTATCTAATATAGTTATCTATAACATTGGAATTATCCAACCACGTAGTCTTAACACTTGTTTGATAAATTCACAAAAATAAGTTGCTTAGGCCTGAATTTTCAAAAGAATTTACTTTTTTTTGATAACAAAATTAGTCACAAAAAACTGACCTGATCCTGACAGGATTGACTATGTCAGCGCTGGATGTTTCTGTAAGTGCGAAACCAAGTCAGTAGAAACCCAGCTGACTTGGAGAAACTAGAGGCTGATCTCTTCTTCTTCTACTTCTTTCTCTTCCTGCTCCTTTCTCCTTCTCTTCTTCTTCCTTTTGCCCTCCTCCACCTTACCCATCATCACTGGAGATCAAACCAGGACATCTTACACCCAATATACTGGCCAAGATCCTTACCACCATGCAATACCCTCAGTGTTGGAATGTCCTCATACCTACCCTCACTTAACCTTGCTGTAATGGATCACTGTCCATTTCTACTCCATGAGCTAGCACTAAGTCACATCACCTACTCTACATTTACTTGATAACTATCTCTATGTCTCTCTTTTCTGTGACAGGTCATGGAGGAGCTGGTGGATGAAGGTTTGGTGAAAGCCATTGGCATCTCCAATTTCAACCACTTTCAAATCGAAAAGCTCTTGAACAAGCCAGGGCTGAAATATAAACCAGTCACTAACCAGGTAAATTTGGTCTGCTACAGAGGCCTGCTCTACTGCTTTTGAAATGTTTAGAGGAAAGTTAAATGCTGTATACTAAGTCTCATCCCAGGGCTCAGTGATTAGAATGCCTTCGTAAAGTGGAATGCAGGTCTACAGGTCTGGATTACCAAGTCTACCTGTTTGTCCTTTCTTTGGTAATCTTTTTCAAATGTCCAGCTGCTCCAGAAGCAAGCCACCTCAACTACTGATATAGATTGTTCACACTTGCAGGTGGAGTGTCACCCATACCTCACCCAGGAGAAACTGATCCAGTACTGCCACTCCAAGGGCATCACTGTCACTGCCTACAGCCCTCTGGGCTCCCCAAATAGACCATGGTGAGTCTTCCCAGTGTTGGCTTCTTTCTCCTCATACTTTGAAAACAGTTTATATTTCACTAATGTTGGAGTGGATCTGTGTTGCACTGGAAAGAAAAACATGTTAGAAACAATACATTTGGCATGCATGAATGGGATTATGGTGAGAAACGTGGGAATTAAAGAACCAACCAGCTAAGGCAAGGGCACCATCCTGACCCTCTGAAAATACTTCATCTCAGCCACATAGTGATGGTAACCTTAGCAAATGCCAAGGCTCAGAGCCCATGGATAGGTTATGGGAAGAACATACAGCTGTCAGGTCTTCTTCATTCTCTTGCAGACAGACAAGGCTGTGGTGCACAGCCTGCAGACTGTGGTAAGGACAACATAGGTGAGTGCAGGGCCTATGGTGATTACTCACACTACCATCTCTCTGCCTCCAGGGCCAAGCCAGAGGACCCTTCACTGCTGGAAGATCCCAAGATTAAGGAGATCGCTCAGAGGCACAAAAAAACCACTGCCCAAGTACAATGTTGTTCTTTTTTTTAATCCTTCCCCAATCCATCCCATTTTGAATGGGGCCTAATTCCTCCTGTTGTCTTCGTACAACCCTCTGAGGGAACAAAAATGGGACAAAGCACTTAAGGCCTGTCTTTGAAGTCTTCTGGGTTTCAGGAAGAATGTTGGGTCTCAATGAACCAGGACCTCCTCTTTTCTGCTAGGAGCACATTCTTGCTTGCTGCCAAGCACAAGATTTGTGGGTTTGGGGTCATGCCCCAAGTCTCACCCTTCAGATACCAAGCCATTTTCCCAATACCCAAATGTAGAAAATCATAGCATTGCTACTTGGACTCAGAGAAATGAGTAGAGGACTGGCAGGTACATCTGAGTTAACCTCTCAGTTGATGCTGGCTATTGTGCCTAAACCCACACTAAATGACAGAAATACTTTATTATTGTTGTTTTTTTGGTTGGGATCCTCATAGGTGATCAGAAACGTGATGTCCTTTTACACACAGGTTCTGATCCGGTTCCATATCCAGAGGAATGTAGCAGTGATCCCCAAGTCTGTGACTCCAGCACGTATTGTTGAGAACTTTCAGGTGAGATCCTGGTTGGTCCTCTGGGATTCATCAGTGGAGTATGTGACAGATGTCTCAACTCATAGTGGATTGTCAGTGGGTCCACCTCACTTCCCAGCACTGTGTCATCTCTTTGGCTGGCGTCTGGCCTCAGTAGAGCTGAGATGGGCCGAGCACTGTGGGGCTCTGACTGGAGAAGGCCTGTTATATCTGAGCACAGCTGTGTGTGACACTGTGGAGAAGACACTTGTTTGCCCTTCATCAGCTATGTATGGGATTCCCAGAAGAGCAGACTTTCCTGTCCTGTAAATGCACCTCCTCCCATAAGGATGTGAATAGGTGGGACTTAAAGAACTGTCCTTTGGGAAGAGCCTGTGTGGGTCTCAGGAAGCACAGATGCTGTGCACACTAAGGTTTCATGCTTCCATGGCTGATCTTGCTTTGTGTTACATAAGCTCAGGAAGTATCAGGAGTGTATAATAGCCTACATTGTCATCTCTGGTCCACCTAGCTCAGCTCTCTGCTCCAAAGCTGACAAGATGGTGAGAAAAGGGTCAAACTACCTGACAGTGGGGTAATGGCATGCAGTATTGGTGAAGGACTAACGTGGGAGAATAATATGTGTCCATTGGACTCAGTGGGGGAAATCTCCTGTCCCAATGTAAGCTGCAAATGGTAGCTCATCCCCTAGCAGTATGGGTGGCAATCTCCAAACCTGCCAAAAATGGCCTTCCAAGGATGTTTTTGAACTCATCTTTCCAGGTCTTTGACTTCAAGCTAAGCGATGCAGAGATGACGACCATCCTCAGCTTCAACAGAAACTGGAGGGTCTGTGCTGCTGTTTTGTAAGTTTCATGAAATTAACTTGGAGGATCGTGGGATTTCATTATAGTGCAACAGAATTTAATGAAAAGATTGCAAAATGGCTGACATATGTTCTATCATCAAGTACTATTTTCTAGCAGTCTTTGATTTAAATTGGAGTCTCAGGGAATCAGAATGAATCAACAGACATTTGTAACTGCTTCCCATTGCCTAGAATTCTGGATGTAGACCTGCCACTTTAAGAAAGACCATGTCATTACTATGTATGAGGCAGAACCATCCATCTATTTCCTCAAGAATTTATTGGGAACCTTCTGTATGCCAGACAGCCTTTAGGAGATCACAATTATCATACTGTACAACGTTTCTACTTCCCCACAAGCTTATAATCTACAAGGAAAAACACAAATAATTTAAAATATACAGTAGTACCTCAGTATACAAACTTAATGCTTTCTATGATTATGCTTTAAAACTAAATTTGGAAAAAAAACTATTAAATTCAAGGACTAGGTTTAATGTTGGTGTCATGGGGAAATTTAATTTGGTTCTTATAAAAGGTGCTTCCTACCTAAAGTCATGGACAGAAATAAACTCATGAACCATATATTGTCACATAGGAGAGTATCAGGCTCTCTGAAGAAAAAATATGTAAAAGAGAGGATAGGCAGTCATTGGGCATGATGAGATGGATGGTTTCTATGGAGTGGGCTAGGGGAGATTTTACTGAGATATGACAGCTTAGCAGAAAGCAGAAGAAATGAAGGGTGAGCCATCCAGCTATTTAGGGGGAAGAATACCTTTAACAGTGATAGCAGTAAGTGCAAACATCCTGGGGCATGTGGATATTTAAGGAAGTTGAGCAATAAGGCTGGAGCAGAATAACTGAGAAAGAGAAAGCCTGTGAATTAGTGAGATCTCAATGAGTTTTAGGGGCCCAGAGAATGGAGAGAGGCATAGGTCATGAGAGCAACTCTGAAGTTTAGTTCTGAGCCCAGACTCCACTTGATGTCTTGAGCAGGAGGGGAGAATCTGACTCATGACTACAATAATCACAGTGGCTTCTGCACTAGAAGTCTACAAGGAGACCATACTAATAATTTCGGAAGCAATGGTGGTGACCAGACCTGGGTGGGGCTCCTGCAGGAGCTAAAGAATGATCTAATTCTGCATATACTGGGGAAACAATCAAGTAAACTTGCTAACAAATTAAGAGTCAAAGATGGCTATGCGAGTATATCTCTTGGTTGTTTTTCCCTGAGCAATGAGAGAAGGGCATCACCATTCAAGAGGAGAAATCAGGAGCTTGACTTGAAATATGTTTGTAATTCTCACTGGACAGCTACAAGGAAAACTCAAATAATTTGACGTGTCAGTGGAGACAATGGATTGGTGGCCACATGAGTAAATCTACATGGTCCTAAATCTGAGCTGTATCATGTATTTATTTGGTACATGGCCTTGATGAATTTACCAACATTTCCAAGCATATTTCTTCATCTGTATGATAGAGATGAAATGCCGATTAGCACTGAAAGTGAGCTTACAGTGTGTCAGGGACTGTGAGCATTTGCCTGTAGGGTTTCTCATTTCTATGTTTATGTTTAAAAATCTTTTCTTTTCATTTGTGTATTTGGTACAAGGTCTCACTACGCAGCTTGGACTCATAGTGATCCTCCTGTTTTCAGCCTCCCCAGTTGTGGGATTACAGGCGTGCACCACCACACCCAGACTAGATCTCTGGCTCAGCACGCCCCAGGGGTGGGCCAGCAGGACATGCTGGAACAGGGATTGCAGCCTGGTCCCTGCACTTGCCAAAGCAGGCACTTAATCTGGGGTTTCTCATGTAATACAATAATCACCAAGCATGAATTTTGCTACTATTCCCCAACTTACAAGGTTGTCAGAAAGAATTGAGACAGTAGTTTTAAGGCACTTCACCTAACACTAGGCTTCTTATGAGCCATATTTACCATTTCATTCTGGTTCTCTGGGGCCTACTGACTCACATACCCTCCTTTCCCAAATATTTCTCCCACAAATTTGAGGATGTGAGAGTATAAGCCCCTTATTTTATTCTTATAAAATCTTGATGTGGTGGGCAGGAGCTGAGAGGATACAGGGAAACTGGAACCCATACACGCAAGAATGCAGATTATGCTCAAGATGTTGCTTCATGGGACACTTTTTCTCTCTGTGCTTCTTTCAGGGACTTTGAAAATACGGAGGAGTACCCTTTCCTTGCGGAATACTGAGGCTGAGCATCCCCATGAGATTATTGGTAGATGCTCCTCTATTGCCGCAGGGGAACTCACCTCTCCGTGTTTTAGTGAAGTTTATCTGCAACCCTGATGTGCTTCACCTGGAGTTGCTGGTAGACTGCATGCAGCGGAGTGCTTCCAGACTGCATGCATTCAGCTATCCCTGGGAAGTGTGACTCAAATAAGCCAAGGACGTTTTTCCTTTCACTTGCTTGGTGTGCCAAAATGACTGGCAAATGCCAACGACTCTTAAAATTCAGAATAGAAAAATGACAATAAAAATTAATAATACTAATCAATATCCATTGACAGCTTACTGTGCACCAAAACAGTTTGTGGTGGTTTTCCTCTGGTAAGCTCGTTTGTTGTGCAGAGAGTCCTCTGATCCCTAATCAAGGTGACACCATTAGTGAGTTGCTATTTAGCTGTGCAGCGACTCCCCACTATGTCTGGAGGCTAAATGCCAGACTTAGCCATGAGGACATCATCCACCACTGCTCTTCATAGTGCTTTCTGAGCTGTGTATCCTCTAAGATGGGATAGGAATAGGGAGAATCCAGGTGACCAGCCTGGAGCAAGTTTCTAAATGGTCAGACTACGTAGAAATGGTGATGATGGTACATGACATGGCATGCATCAACTGAAGGTCACAGTACAGTATCTTGTCTTTATTTTCGCCGTGGGTAGCATTGTAAGTGGTAGATTGGAATCAATTTGATGGGATTCCAATAACGTAACTTTGGGATTACAAATATTGGCTTCTTGGACCGAGACGAGGACCTGGAAGTGTCTCCTACACCAGTCCAATGAGCTTGCCGGCCACAGGCCAAGTCACAGGTAAGTTACATGGGAAGCCACTAGCTGTGTGGATCACTCTGTAAGGAAGCTAGCTATACCCTGAGCAGCAATACCAAGCAAAGGGCCACGGCTAGAAGGACAGCACTGACCCTGATTAAAATAAATAAATACAACTGTAACAGTGGCCTTGTTTTGCCCCAACAAGGAGGCAATCCGAGGTACCTGGGTTTTGGTGGTTCTGGGAGACTGGAGGCCACATGTGGATTTATTTACTGTTCCCTAAGGATGGTGCAGCATATACTAGCATTGGTGGACACCAGAGCTGAATCAGTGCTAAAATGTGGCAGCCCGGACTGTTTCGCAGGACTACTTCATGCACAGAAGGGTATGGAAGTTACTACATTACAATCCAGAAGGCCCAGGTGACTTTCACTCTTGGGCACTTGTCCCCACACCCATATGATGTTTGTGTTACTCTAGTTGGCAGATGCATACTGGGGATGAACATACTGACTGGTGTATCAACTCCATGCAAGAAAAATTCCAGTTACTAATTTACACGGTAAATCCATTGTCCAAGACCTCCCTCACCACACACTGCTGACTCATGCAGGCTAAGTGAATTATGTACAAAAAACAGTACTGAGACCCAGAGGTCATAAAACAATGGGACAGGTCATTTTATAATTGTTTTAGAAAAGGAATGATATACCCTGCACAGTGCCCTTCTGTGTGGCCCATGCAGGAGCCAGATGCGTTGTGGCAGATGAATGTAAAGTCTCACCCTGACACTCATAGGACCAATTTGCCTTCACCCAGGGAAGGCAAGCAGTGGACCTTCCAGATGCTGCCACAGGGCTATTTGCTGAGCCCAGCTTGCTGCTGTGGCCCAGGACCTGGCCATCTATGCCAAAACCAAACTATGTCACTGTTTTGTATTGATGATACTATGTTAACCTGATTGTCTTATAGATTTAGAAATTGCCATACATAGTCTGAAAAAAAGTGCTGTGTATGGGATGCCACCAGAAATAGCACTTGGCTAGGGATAGCATCTGACCAGAGACAGGGACATAGACCTAGTCCTTCAAGTTAAAGCCTTTGCTCAACATACGGCCCAGGCCTTAAATGTTACATGCCAGGTTTTGATGTTACTTATCCATAAAACTGTTCAAATAAAAAATTGGTTTTGCTGAAGCACATGATTCTTCATTTTTTGAACTACAGGCACTTTGGCCTTGTTACGTACAGAATATTACATTTATACAGCACCAAACTTTCAGGGGATGTAGGGAACCACACAGAATTCTTTGAAGCTCAGTCACATGAGGACACTGATGATGTGACTCTGTTTGCTGCAGTTTCACAGTGGAATGCAGTTATGTAACCAAAACTTAGCACGAGTAAAGATGAAAACGCTGGTTATGGCACTATGCAAAAATGCAAATATGACATAACAGCTTGTATACAAATTATGCAATACAGTTGGGAGTCTGATTTTTTTTTTATGTGTATGATCTCTGTTGCATCCATTTACCTGTTATTATGGTTTGTGTCTAGTTGTCCCCACAAAGCCTCATACAGTCATGGGATAAGGACTTCTAGAGTTTGAGATTAATTTATGATCCACTGGGATTATGGGTGATCCAAGGCTGGGATTATTGGTTTTACCAGTGCTGGGATTATGGATGTGTGTACTTCCCCCAGCCTGGGGCAGAAAGCCTGAATGTAATGAAAGAGAGACAGAGAGACAGACTCTCTCTCTTGCCATGGTTGCTGCTACTCCTCCCTTGGCTCCTCTTGCTCTTTGCTGCTGCCGTTAACTGATGCCCTCTGCCCTGTGCCACTCTGCCTTGCAGCCGAATATGGACTGAAAACTCCAGTAACTGTGCGCTAAATAAACCTTTCCTTCCTTCATTTTGGGTGTTGGATATTTGTCCCAGCAACGAGAGGAAGAGTAACTGGGACACCTAGAACAATCATGTTGTCTCTCCAGTGTAAGAAACTGAAAGCATAAATAAGATCCAAAAGGTACAGCAGATATTGTGAAAGGGAAAGAAACTGCTCAAAAGAAAACAAGAACTGGGATGGGCAAAGGAGAAAAGAAGGGGGACACAAACACACAAGGTAGCTAAGATAAATTTTACTACTAATTTCTATTAGTTTATTGAAAGGAACAGTTAGTGCTTACATAGTTTGATCAAGTTGGCATGCCTCTATCTGGCAGCTGGGCATATAACAATATGCCATAAAACAATCACTGTTTATTTCCTATCGTCTTGTTTCGAAATTCTGTATCATCTTTATTGTTTTGATCTTATCGTTTTAAAACTATAAACAATTGTGCAATAAAGACAATAAAGTGCTGAGGCCTCGCACTCTGCTCTGCTCCATGCTGCCTGCTGCTGTTGCTGAGATCTTGCGCATGTGCGTTCTTTCACCACCGAAAACTTCCCTTGGGCCCCGAGCAGGGTGACACATATCATGCGTAGCTGACTTCTAAAGCGTTTGGTATCAGGAAGACCGTCTCAGAATTTAGTTATTAAGGTCCTTGGTTTTTCACTACAACGCTCTTTTCACCTGCCTGTAAAAAGTGAGCACTGCGCTGAGGTCTCCGCTCCTGCAGTAGGTCCAGCGGGAATGAGATTTGGGAACTGACAGAGTGACCCTCCACCCAGGTCTCAGCCAAAAAGAACTCCAGTTATAGACCTGGCCCTCCTGGCGGGGCCCGCATAGTACCCTGACACAGAGCACCACGGGAGGGCTTGCGTTCAGTGCAGGCAGATGACCTCACCCATCCTCCCCTAGCACCCAGCCCCGGCGGGGTCGGCCAGTAGCACATAGGCTTCCCCACGAGGGGCGTGGCTGTGGGTCTGGCTTTGCCCCAGGACGAACTGCAGCGCTGGGCAGCTGCGTAGCTGGTGGACTCCATCTTTTCCCCAGTCCTAGGCAAGTGCTCAGCCAAGGGGAAGCAAGCTTTTGTCCCTAGTGGACTGAGTGAAGGAGCCCTGGGAGGGACTGTTGCCTGCACAAGTGGAAACCCGTGTATGCTTTCGCTGGGCTACTAAGAGTCCCTGTGCAAAAGGAGGAGCGAACTAGTGGATCTCAGACAGGGTCTTTTTAGATAAATGACAGTTTGAGTTGCATGAACTCAAACAGAAACCTACATGATTCCAGGCTTTGCCTTCACCTGGCAGAACTTCATTGTGTTCTAGGACCAGGTCTGTCCACGACTACAAACTGTGGGCAGCCTTCCAGCAGAGAAGGCGTTGAAAGGAAAACAAGGAAGGGGATAGAAGACTCACTTTGATAAAAGAGAAACAAACTCTTAGCCTGCTAAATATCTGGAATGGGTTGGTGTTCTTTAAAATTCAGAAAGACGGGCAGGGGACATAACTCAGTAGACTAACGGCTTGCTCAGGGAAAATGGAACAAATTGGGATCAAAGAGGGAAGCAAGTCTTGTAGCAAGCAGACCTGAGTACAGAAGAGAGGCTCTTGCTGAAAGGTTAGGGTTAATGACTCTTCCTGGCTTCCTCGCCATGACAGGTCCATACATAGAATGTCAGTCCCTGATGTTTACCCATAGGAAACTGTGCGGGTATGTCTGCTTGTCCTGAGGTCTGGCTGTCAGCTAGAGGTGCCTGTCTCCCCCAGGTGCAAAGCCTCTCCTCTTCTGCACAGGCTCCTTGGAGGGGCTACCCCTATCTGTAATATTTGATCGAACTCAGTTGCCTACAACAACCTGACTCTTGGCTGACAAGCCCAGGCTCCAAGACATTCTCTGTCTCACCTGATACCCAGCATCTTTGTAACCCACAGAAGTGAGCAGGACTCACTGAAGGTAGAAGAAAGGCAGAGATTTATGAAGGAAAATACACTCCTCTGAGAAAAGCATGCTAAGAAGGTTCCAGTTAGTTTGACACAGACCACTCTGTCTCTTTTATGTGTGACACTAAAGTAACCATGGGAGAGTTTTAAGCAAGCCTAGGTCAGAAGTGCAAACCTAATGGAGTGAGTTGCAGGATTGGTTTACTTTTGTTTTGTTTTTACAATTTAGATAGCAGTATAAGTGTAGTTTTTTTGGGGGGAGGGGTATAACCAACTATATTCAATCCAAATAATTGAGAGTACCTAACCTGTCTGGAGAGAAACATGCTTGGCTTCTTATGGCCTGGCTGGATCCAGCACACTGCC